TCCACCTTGACCGTGCCTAGTCGTCCACCCGTCTAGTCCTCTTGGCCGCGCCTGGTCTTGCCCTCGAATGTGTTCGTCTGGAGCACAGAGCTAGATCCAGAGAATGAGAGAATGAGATCGATGGACCCACGGACGGAAATCAAGTTTCTCTTTCCCTGAAATGACCTAGGACACTCCTCTTCTAGTCAGCTCCCATCCTGCTCCCCCACCCCCAACAACCTCTCATCGGACCTTCCCCTTTTGCCACCAGAAAGCTTTTCCACTCCTCCGCCTGGCCTGCGTTTGCTTGGCGTCTCTGCCAGACCCAGGCGGTGGTGGCCGACCGCAGACTCTCTTGCCCTCAAGAAATGATTCCCGCTCTCATGTGGGTGATCTTTTATCTCCACAGAGGTGATTAGTTTGGGGAACAAATAAAAGCACTCAGAATAAAAACCATGCCCAGTATCATGCACGCCCTCCTCCCCCTCCCCCCCTCCCCCTCCCCCTCCCCCCTCCCCCTTCCCCTTCCCCCCCTCCCCCCTTCCCCTCCCCCCTTGGCCCCCTTCCCCCTTCCCCCTTCCCCCTTCCCCTCCCCCCTTCCCCCTTCCCCTCCTCCCTTCCCCTCCTCCCTTCCCCTCCCCCCTTCCCCTCCTCCCTTCCCCTCCCCCCTTCCCCTCCTCCCTTCCCCTCCCCCCTTGGCCCCCTTCCCCTCCCCCTTCCCCCTTCTCCCTTCCCCTCCCCCCTTGGCCCCCTTCCCCTCCCCCTTCCCCCTTCCCCCTTCCCCCTTCCCCCTTCCCCCTTCTCCCTTCCCCTCCCCCCTTGGCCCCCTTCCCCTCCTCCCTTCCCCTCCTCCCTTCCCCTCCCCTCGTGGCCCCCTTCCCCTCCCCCCCCTTTGATGTCTACATGAACCGACAGACTGCATGCATGGCATGTATAGATGGATGGATGGATCGATGGATCGATGGATCGATGGATCGATCGATCCATGGATCGAACGGTGAAGAGAGCCAGGGTGAGGGTGAGGGTGAGGGTGAGGGTGAGGGTGAGGGTGAGGGTGAGGGTCCCGTCCGTCCCTCCCTCCTTCCCTATGTCCATCACATTGTTTCGTCACAGATTTTCGAAGTGGAGATACAATTCGCATGCCATATTTCGCATACTCTTAAAAGTGGGCCATTGGGTGGCCTTTTTTTCTTTTTTTTTAAGGTGGCTCACAAAGCTGCACAACCTTCACTGCAATTTCCAGAACATTTCCATCACCGCCAAAAGAAATAAACACCTCTACTACCCCTCCCCCCTTCCTGTCCGCGCCTCGCCCCCACCCGCCGTCACCGTCGCCCTCGCCGTCACCGTCGCCCTCGCCCTCACCCGGGCTCTCTTCACTGTTCTCCCCCAACAGGGAGTAGAAAGGGAAGTTAGAGGGAACATTCTTCCTCCCCTACACCTGCTGAACGCACATGGACACACACCGCAACCCTCCCCGCCAGGCGCGCGCACCCACCCACCCCCGCCCCGCCAAGCCCCGCCCCGCCCCGCCACGCCACGCCACGCCCCCCATCCCGGCCTTACGTGTACCTTACGTACCTCTGCACGGACTCGAGATTTGGCAATAGCCTTGATTGCCCTGCAATGTTTCCAAACCTCGGCGCTCCCCAACCTTCCCCACCCCGACCCCCGCCCCTTCGAAGAAGAACTAACCTAATTCGGGGAGCTTCCAGGTTGCTTGAACGCCTGAAATGGTGGGGACAGAGGCGTTCCTGGAGAGGGGTCACGGAACACGGAAGCTCTGCCCCCCTTCCCTTTGCCTCTGTTCCATCTGGAGTTTCCTCAGTTGTATCCTTTTAGGACACAGCGGTCATGTAAGAAATGAGAAAAAAAAGGACTGAAGGACTGAACCGGGCTAGACTGGTTTAAAATTCTTCACTAGCGTCCATGCCGAATACATTTCGACGACAGGGGCCTTCGCACGGCTTTTGGTGCACAGAAGACCGATGCACCGAAGCCTGCCGATCTCGGGACGTGTCCACGAGGGGAAAGAGTGTCAGCCTATCGGAAAAGAGAGTCGGTTAACGTAGATTGCAAAGGCATTCGTTCATCCCGAGAGACTTCCTCTCCATGATGGCGGGTGGCGCGAGATGGAAGAGTTGGCTTCCATGAAAAAGGGGCCCTTTCTTGAAGACCCTGCCCAGCTATCGGGGTTTTGTTGGTTTGTGTTTTGTCATCTGTGATAGGAAGGCATCTTCTTAGCCATCGGGAGGGAAACCTCAACAAATTCAGCCATTCAGATCACAAGGGATTTCTTGGGTTTGGTGGATCTGAGATCTGGTCTGCCTCCGACTGCTCCCCGAGATTGCCTTTATGCCGAGAATGGGATTCCTCATCAGACACACAGAAGTCCGGCTCCTTGCCACGGAGCTGGCTGCTCTATGGATGCCTTTAAAAAGGAAGCCTGCCTTTAATTCGGACGTCGGAACGTGATCGGTCGCTTTTTCATGGGGGGTTGGCCAATTAAATTTCCCCCGCCTTGGGCGCCTGGGTGGCTCAGTTGGTTAAGCGGCTGCCTTCGGCTCCGGTCATGATCCTGGAGTCCCTGGATCGAGTCCCGCATCGGGCTCCCTGCTCAGCAGGGAGTCTGCTTCTCCCTCTGACCCTCCCCCCTCTCATGTGCTCTCTCTCATTCATTCTCTCTCTCTCTCTCTCTCTCTCTCTCTCTCTGTCTCAAATAAATAAACAAACAAACAAACAAACAAATAAATAAATAAATAAAATCTTAAAAAAAAAAAATTCCCCCCGCCTTACAAAGCAGAGACTGGTGAAGGGTCCTCCAAGTGCCCTCTGGAAATCAAGAGCTTCTGTATCAAGAGGCTGGAAAACGCATCTTCCCCTTCTTCCTGGTGAATCCAATTCTAGGGGTTGATTCAAAGGAAATCATGTTTTAGATGCTAAAACGTAAAGCTTACTTTTGCAAAAATGTGCATCGCGGCATAGGGTTTAGGAATCCCTTGTGGCAGACCGACAACCGTGTGTCCCTCACGTCCCGGCACGTGTGCACCCTCACGTCCTATGACTTCGATGCTCCTGCTATCCAGAGGTAGGCTTGATTGCTCTGTCCCTTGATTTTGGACCGGGTCTTGGGACTTGTCTTGACCCAAAGAATAGAGCAGAAGTGACACTTGGCTGGTTTCACAGCCTACACCTGAAGAGGTGGTCTGCCGGCGTTCTCGACCTTCTTGGCATGCCGTCCTGAGACCTCCACGTAAGAAAGCCAGTCTAGCTGACTGGAGCATGAGAGGCATTGACAACAGAGGCAGCCCGGTGCTCGGCGGCACCGACTGCCAGACGTGTGAAAGTTGACCCTCTGGCCGAAAGCCACTGCTTGAGTGAGCCCGGCGTAAACCCGCAGAACCCAAGGGGCCACCCAGGGCAAGCACCAGGAAGTTATCGATAAAGAAATGCTGTTTCGAGCCATTGCGGTGTTAGGATGATGCACCCTGAGGATCAGCTAGCTGCGCAGCAGCGATAGATACCGTGCACACAGATACACACCACACAACACACCACACCACACCCCCCCCACACACACACGTGTGCAGAAAACCAAACCAACGAAACAAACCAAAACTCTGTAGAACCCTGCACCAAATGTTGAGGAAACAACGGCCCACCCTCACAAGAAACACCTGCACGCTACATGTACAATGCATAGGGAGCCTATACTTGCAAGTGCTTACTTGCATGGGAAACATTTCACGATAACATGAGTCTCAGATGGCCCAAGCGGGGTTCTTTTGACATGTCTGAATTGTGTACACAATTAGAGAAAGCCTGCTAGGAGACTGGGTGATCAGAAACTAGGAAGCTCTTTGGTTCCCTCAGTGAAGCCCCGACTTTTGGGGAGGAACCAACACTCAGGGAGATGCTCTGGTCTTCATTTGGTTGGTTGGTTGGTTGGTTGGTTGGTTGGTTGGTTGCTGCAGCTTTTGCTATCTTTGCATAAAACCGACCCTGTTTCCATTGGGAATGGAAAACAACTGACGGGTGGGATCTGTACACGGTAATGCTGCTTCGCAGTTGCATTTGTTTTACTAAAAGAGGGAGATTTGAACATTGGGTCTTTCGTGTCCTCTCCATTCATGTCCTCTCCACAAATAAGACTGAAACAAAGGCTAAAATTTGTTTGCATCTTGTTTGTGTCTATGTGTCCGTATGTGTTATACATGTGAGGTATTTCCTCCACCTCCGGGTGCTATTGCTAACATCCATTTGTAAAGGAGCTCTATTTAATGAGTTCTATTTTTATTTTATTTTATTTTATTTTATTTATTTTATTCTTTAAAGATTTTATTTATTTATTTGACAGAGAGAGACACAGCGAGAGAGGGAACACAAGCAGGCGGAGTGGGAGAGGGAGAAGCAGGCTTCCCGCCGAGCAGGGAGCCCGATGCAGGGGCTTGATCCCAGGACCCTCGGATCATGACCTGAGCTAAAGGCAGACGCTTAACCACTGAGCCATCCAGGTGCCCCGAGTTTTATTTTTATTAAAGATTCTATTTATGTCTTTGAAAGAAAGCGAGTGAGAGAGCACACGAGCTGGGGGTGGGGGGGCATTGGGAGAGGGAGAAGCAGACTCCCCGCGGAGCAGGGAGCCGGATGTGGGGCTCCATCCCAGGACCCCAGGATCATGATGTGAACGCAAGGCAGACACTTAACTGCCTGAGCCACACAGGTGCCCCTACTTAAAGAGTTTAGAGGCAGGTGCTCGTAAAAATCGGGCATGGTAAAACTCAGATAAGAATAAACCCAGTTTTTCAAGCTCACATGATCTGGGATGAAATTCCCTACATTCAGACTCTTATGTCACTCCACAATAAAGATGCCTCAAGGTAAGGGACCCAAGGGACGGCCCAGAGATAGACAAAAATTTAACACACCTGACCTTACCCCCACTTCCCAACAGTCAAAATAATGAAGAAGAGGAGGAAGACAGGCCGATGCTAGAAATCTGAAATCCACTCCTCCTCCTCCCCAAGTACAGGCACCAGAACCGATGCCCAACCCACTGGCTTCCGGAGGGCTGAAAAGCCACCACAGACAAAGCCTATTAAGCAGAAGGAGATGAAGAAAGGGGCGGAGGCGGAGGCGGAGGCGGAGGCGGAGGCGGAGGCGGAGGCGGAGGCGGAGGCGGAGGCGGAGGCGGAGGCGGAGGCGGAGGCGGAGGCGGAGGCGGAGGCGGAGGCGGAGAAGAAAAAAAAGAAAAGGTTCGTCCAAAACTGTAAATGTATATGTGCCCTGGGCCTTACCAATGGCTCCCTTGCCGCCTCCCCTGCCCCGTTTCTGCACCACTGGTGTGTGTGCCTGGAGTGCTCTACTCCCCTGCCGCCGTCTCAGCCGCCCTTCCCTACCCCCGCCCCCCCGCCCCCCCCCCCCCGGGTGCCATGGGCTCCCCTTTCTCCTCCTCCTCCTCCTCCTCCTCCCCACCCCCTTATCAAGGAGCAAAAGCCCTTGCCCTTGGGCCCAAGCCCTTGGGCCACCTCCTTATGAGGTTTAAATTGGAGCACCTCCCAAACTAGCAGGAAGGGGCCCGAGGGCTCCGCTGATCTTAGACCGCCCGCTTCAGACTTTCCCCAAGGAGTCTGATGGGGGAAAACAATCGATTGACTTTTTAGTGGACGCAGGTGCAACTTCTTTGGCGTTAAAGCCAATTCAAGGTTGTTGGTTTATTTTAAAAAGACGTGGTTTTGGAGCTATCAATGTCACACATAATACAAATAATCAACTTTGCGTTTCTTTCTTTCTTTCTTTCTTTCTTTCTTTCTTTCTTTCTTTCTTTCTTTCTTTCTTTCTTTCCTTTTTCTTTCTTTCTTTCTTTCTTTCTTTCTTTCTTTCTTTCTTTCCTTTTCTTTCTTTTCTTTGTCATAAAAGCACTTGGATTCGGTTCTCCCTGCGTTACAAGCCGTTGGGTGGGCAGTGGAATGTGCCACGCTCCCGTCACAACAGTGAGCCTGTATTTGTGGTTATCAAAATATACCTCTCCATCACCTTTATAAAAACCAACCAACCAACCAACCACGTTTGGGTGCCTGGGTGGCTCAGTCGTTCAGCGTCTGCCTTCGGCTCAGGTCATGATCCCAGGGTCCTGGGATCGAGCCCCGCATTGGGCTCCCTGTTCATTGGGGAACCTTCTTTTCCCTCTGTCCCTTCCCCTGCTTGTGTTCCCTCTCTCGCTGTGTCTCTCTCTGTCAAATAAATAAAATTTATGAAATATATTCATACATTTGCCAATCTAAAGAATTCTGGTGTAATAGAGAGTGCGCCATTGGTTACTACTAACGTTTCACCAGAGACTGAGATTTCTAAGAATTAAAATTCTGCCACATGGAATTGGGACTGCTACAAAATGATAACAAAAACAACTCCGTGTGTGGGAAGGTAGGAGACGTGTAAAAGAGGTACAAGAAATGAGAAAACATTTTTTTTGTTGAGGGAAAAGGAAGTAATGGTGTACTGAAACGGGACTGGGTACTTAAAGAAAGAAAACTTTAAGACCGAGTCTGAATGAAAAAGGAAATTGTGGAAGGGGTTTGTGAAGGAGAATTTTTGAAAAGGAATTTTATGCATGGTCAGGACTGACTGAGCTTGGGAGAAGGCAGTTTGAAAAGCACACTGGTGGAACTGGAGGGTATTATGTTGAGCGAAATAAGTCAAACAGAGAAAGACATGTATCCTATGATCTCACGGATAGGAGGAATTCTTAATCGCAGGAAACAAGCTGAGGGTTGCTGGAGTGGGGGGTGGGGTGGGAGGGATGGGGTGACTGGCTGATAGACACTGGGGAGGGTAGGTGCTCTGGCAAGCGCTGTGAATTGTGCAAGACTGTTGAATCTCAGATCTGTACCTCTGAAACAAATAACGCAATCTATGTGAAGAAGAAAAAAAAAATAGAAGAAGGTAGCGGGAGGGGACGAATGAAGCGGGGGAAATCGGAGGGGCGGACGAACCATGAGAGACGATGGACTCTGAACAACAAACTGAGGGTTCTAGAGGGGAGGGGGGTGGGAGGATGGGTTAGCCTGGTGGTGGGTATTGAGGAGGGCCCATTCTGCATGGAGCACTGGGTGTTGTGCACAAACAATGAATCATGGAACACCACATCTAAAACTAATGATGTAATGTAGGGGATTAACATAAGAATAAAAAAAAGAAGAAGAAAAGCACACTGGTATAAGATTGAGATTTGGGTTTTCTATGTTAAAATGACAAGGTTTTCTTGGATTGTTAGTGTACTCTTTTTTTCTTTCTTAAGATTGTATTTATTTATTTGACAGAGAGAGACACAGCGAGAGAGGGAACACAAGCAGGGGGAGCGGGAGAGGGAGAAGCAGGCTCCCGGCCAAGCAGAGAGCCCGATGTGGGGCTCGATCCCAAGACCCTGGGATCATGACCTGAGCCGAAGGCCGACAGACGCTTGACGACTGAGCCACCCAGGCGCTCCTCCGAGATTTTATTTTTTAAATAATCTCTACACTGAACGTGGGGCTCGAACTCACAACCCTGAGATCAAGAGTCGTGCTCTCTACCGACTGAGCCAGCCAGGTGCCCCTGGACTGTCATCTCGAAGAGACACATGCGTAGACTCAGATATGGTGAGACTGCTTTAAGAAAGTCAGATTGACTTTATGGAGCCAGTAAAGCCCCTTAGAAATGTTGGCCTGATAACCTTGCTTAGAGAGGTCCCCTCAACCTTACCAGGTGAGTGAAGAGTACCACCTCCTGGCAGATGCAGGAACTTCAGGAAATTTGGAGGCCCTCAAAGAAGAGAGGAATTCACCCAAATCTACAAGTCTTTTTTTTTTTTGTAATTTTTTTTATTCTTATGTTAATCCCCGTACATCACATCATTAGTTTTAGATGTAGTGTTCCATGATTCATTGTTTGTGCACAACACCCAGTGCTCCATGCAGAATGCGCCCTCCTCAATACCCACCACCAGGCTAACCCATCCTCCCACCCCCCTCCCCTCTAGAACCCTCAGTTTGTTTTTCAGAGTCCATCGTCTCTCCTGGTTCGTCTACCCCTCCGCAAATCTACAAGTCTTGCAGGCGAATCTGATGGCCAATATTTGGCTTGGTTCTCGGCTTTAAAAAGGCAGTTAAAGGATCAATCTAAAATTCCTTGTAAAAAGCTCCATCAAAGCAGATTTAAAAGAAGGAAAGGAAAAAGAAAAGAGAAGAAAGACCCCATATATGGTCAATTGCTATTCTTGCTGTCCCTACGTAGATGATTGGGCCAAGTTTGTTAAAACTGGACTTGTTTTACAAACAAATTAATCTTCTTTTGGCTATCTTTGACAGGAATGAAGGTGACTTTAGAGAGAAAGATTACATTTCAATAACACACTTTTGTGAGTGTTAGATTAATTATCTTTGAACGTTTATTGTTTGCCTATAAAACTGGACTGGATCCTGGATCCTTCTGGTTTCCTTGAGTATCTGACTGTGACTCTTCAAACTAAGGTTTCCAACATTCTCCCATTCTCTCTCTTTTTTTTAATTAATTTATTTTTTTATTCTTAGGTTAATCCCCATACATTACATCATTAGTTTTAGATGAAGTATTCCATGATTCATTGTTTGTGCATAACACCCAGTGCTCCATGCAGAATGGGCCCTCCTCAATACCCACCACCAGGCTAACCCATCCTCCCACCCCCCTCCCCTCTAGAACCCTCAGTTTGTTGTTCAGAGTCCATCGTCTCTCATGGTTCGTCCGCCCCTCCGATTTCCCCCCGCTTCATTCGTCCCCTCCCGCTACCTCCTCCTCCTCCTCCTCCTTCTTCCTCCTCCTCCTCCTCTTCTTCTTCTTCTTCTTCTTTTCTCCTTCTTCTTCTTCTTCTCCTTCTTCTTCTTCTTCTTCTTCTTCTTCTTCTTCTTCTTCTTCTTCTTCTTCTTCTTCTTCTTCTCCTTCTCTCCTTCTCCTTCTTCCTTCTTCTTCTTCTTCTTCTTCTTCTTCTTCTTCTTCTTCTTCTTCTTCTTCTTCTCTCCTTCTTCTTCTTCTTCTTCTTCTTCTTCTTCTTCTTCTTCTTCTTCTCTCCTTCTTCTTCTTCTTCTCTCCTTCTTCTTCTTCTTCTTCTTCTTCTTTTCTTCTTCTTCTTCTTCTCTCCTTCTTCTTCTTCTTCTTCTTCTTCTTCTTTTCTTCTTCTTCTTTTCTTCTCCTTCTTCTTTTCTTCTTCTTTTCGTCTTCTTCTTTTCTTCTCCTTCTTCTTTTCTCCTCCTCCTTTTCTCCTCCTCCTCCTCCTCCTCCTCCTCCTTCTTCTTCTTCTTCTTTTTTTCCCCTTAACATATATTGCATTATTTGTTTCAGAACATTCTCCCATTCTCTTATCTTACAATCATTAAGAACTAAAACTGTCCTTTTTCCTGAAGTCTGGCAAATGAAAGCTGGACAACTTGAAATAAATTTCAGGGAAATGACCACAATAACTCATATATAGACAATCTTTGTGCCTGTTGCTCTATGAGTCACTCAAAATGAGACATTTGAACTATACGCCAGAAAAATTAGTCAGATTGCCCCTGCCCACTCCCACTCTATTGGAGGATGCTTCAAGCCTGACATCTAGAGACCTTCTCACTGGCAGCCCTCTGGACTTAGACACCAGGTGTATCCCTTGTTCCAACCATTAACCATGTTTTCCTTTTGTTTCCATAGAAATGCCTCTTATTAACTACAAGATCACTTGCTGAATGAGGCAGAGTCTATGATCCTTAATTCCACCTTGCTGCACCTGTATTAACTCCTCTTTGGAAAATAAGAACCCATATAAATAGGGGCACCTGGCTGGCTCAGCTGGTAGAACATACGACTCTAGATCTCGGGGTTGTGAGTTCGAGCCCCACATTGAGTGTAGAGATTACTTAATAGAAATCTTTAAAGAAAAAAAAAAATAAAAAAGAACCCATGTAAATAAAATCAAACACTAAGCTACTTGGCTACCAGAAGCCCTTCACCACCACAACCTACCGCCCCCCCCCCAGGGGAGGGGCTCAGACTAATTTACTGATCTGTATTCTTGGATACCCACCGATATCAGATCAATTTGAGAGAGAATGAGAGAATTGGGTTTGACTCTACTGTTACTATTCCTTAGACTACACTTGGGGATAAAATCAATGGTGTCATGTAGTCCCAAACCATGTAGAAAAATAACCAAGTTCTCAGATAAGGAACTATCTCTGAGACCCCCTCCATTAGCACAAGGGACCAAAAATTGCGACCTGCAGTGTCTCAGATCCTTCCATTCCAAAGCCTCTACTGCACCCTAATTCAGCTTGAAGCAGTTAAATAAAGAAGGCAGACCTCTGCCCATGTGTCATAGAAATGGAATGCAGGATGGACAAGGGGAAATTTTAACAGGGAAAAATGTAGCATGTCTGACTCCCTGTTATTTTTATTCCCTTTTAACCTGTAGGTTAAAAACTTCTGTTTAGCCCTGAACATAGCCATGTTACAGCTAAGATTTACAGAAACTGTCGTTTACCCAAAACCTACCTCCCCTGAGGAGATGAAAGAATAGCCACAGCCATCATCATCCCAATTCCCTAAGACTGAGGAATGATCCTCACTTGGTGGGGGTGGGGGTGGGGGTGGGGGTGGGGATTGAAACCGTGCCCCATAAGGTTAATGAGGTTGATGCTAGCAGAAAGCTTAAAGCTGGTTTTTCAGGGAACTGTTTCCCCCTAGTCAGCTATTGTGTCTTTTCAGGCCCTGCTACCAAATACTGGCTGTCTCTGCAGAAGTCTGGACTCAAGGTCAACTGATAATGGCTGCAGCCTATGAAGAAGCGAGGTCCTGATTCCTTACCTGAGAAAAGGAGCCTAAGACCCCATCCAGGTTGTACCAGCTCTCAGAGCATGCCCACAGCCTCTTCTCCTTGTCCTCAGATAACCTCCTGACATCAGGGACTCAGTTTTGCCTCATTCAGATGTCAGGTCTCCACCCCGAAGTAAACATGGGAATCTATGGTACATATGTTTCCTGAATATACGTGCTCCAACTTTCGCCATGAATAATCATAAATGTCCCTGCCCTTTTCCTTTTTGAAGTTTGATTGTTTGTTTTTATTTATTTATTTCAGAGAGAGAGACACACAGAGAGAGACAGAGACAGAGAGAGAAACACACAGAGAGAGAGAGAGACAGAGAGACAGAGAGACAGAGAGACAGAGAGACAGAGAGCTTGCACGCATGGGTGGGTGGAGGGGCAGAGGGAGAGGGAGAAGACTCCCCATTGAGCAGGGAGCCCCAGAGGGGTGGGGCTCGATCCCAGCACCCTGAGATTATGACCTGAGCTGAAGGCAGATGCTCAACCGGCAGCCACCCAGGCGCCCCTCCATTCCATTTTTTTTTTTTAAAGAGATAAACATTACATACTTTATTTTTAAAAATTCATTCATTCATTCATTCATTCATTCATTCATTCATTCATTCATTTTTCATCATCTGTAGTCCCAGTGTAGGGCTTGAACTCAGGACCCTGACTGAGATCAAGAGTCATGTGCTGTTCTGACTGAGCCACCCAGGTGCTCCTTCTGTTCCATATTTTAAACAACCCTGGGATCATGGCTCAGAGTCACAGTTGGCCCAATGAGACTCACACTCACCCCTCTGTGCAGAGGTGCCATCTGTGGGGCTGGTTCCTGTTTGTCCATCTTCCTTCCTCCTCTTACTGGACAGGAAGGTGGTGTGCGAAAACAGCCAGTGACTACGTGGAATGAGACCGAGGATTTCCCTTGGGAAGCAGGTGGGAGAGGGAGGACAGGTCGATGGATAATCAATAAACTGTTTTTTTTTTTTTTTTTTAAGATTGTATTTATTTATTTATTTGACAGAGAGAGACACAGCGAGAGAGGGAACACAAGCAGGGGGAGTGGGAGAGGGAGAAGCGGGCTTCCCGCGGAGCAGGGAGCCCGATGCGGAGCTCGATCCCAGGACCCTGGGATCATGACCTGAGCCGAAGGCACATGCTTAATGACTGAGCCACCCAGGTGCCCCAACAATCAATAAACTGTTAATGTTGATTTAGAGGAGTGTGCTTGCTGGGCCCATAACTCGGTGGATGAGTTAGAACGGTCCCTGTCAGGCCTCCCTTAGCCCTTAGCCCTTAGCCCTTATCACTCCATGCTTGTGTTTGGCCTCTGACCGCTAAGATACCACCATCATGTGTTCAAGGTCCTCCTCAGACTCAGCCAGCCACACCATGCCACACCCTCCTACCTGCACACCCATCCCTGGAAGGCAGTATAGTAAGACATCATCCCCCACATTCATGATTCCCAAAGGGTTTACTGGAGTTTCGTGGGTTAGGAAAAGGAGGGGACTCTTTTTGCCCCCAGATGAGGTGAGCTCTTCAGACACCCTCTTTCCCCTTCCCCTCCTCCCTCCCTCCCTTCCCTCCCTCCCTCCCTCCCTCCCTCCCTCCCTCCCTCCCTCCCTTCCGTCCCTCCCTCCCTCCCTCCCTCATCTCTCTCCGAAGTTTGCAAGCTGCAGCCTAAGGGTTAGGGGGAGTTGAGGAAAGCCATTGAATGGAGGGAAGCTCCAGGCTCTGACTTTAACAGAAAGCTTTCTGCATTTGAATGAAGCGATTGAATGAGGCCCATTAGAATGGATCACCCTGAACGTCCCATCAGCCGCCCCAGCCCCAGCCCCAGCCCCCCCATCCCCCCCCAACTGAAGTCCTCTGGTCGAATTGGAACAGTAGGCTGGGGGGGGGGGGGGGGGCTGTCCATCCTAAGTTGGTAACTAGGCCCCTGGTCCATAGGGAAAAAATCACGCACGGGTACAGATGAGTTGGTAGCTCAGGCAAAGTGGTCGAAGTGTTGGCAAGGTTTCCGTGGATGAGGGGAGATTTGTTCTGGGACCACCCTCCCATATACATCTCTGGCTGAGAAGAGGACAGGGGAGCCCTGTGGGGGTGGGGGTGGGGGTGGGGGTGGGGGGGCGGGACCCAGATCTGGAGCTCGGAGTGGACTATAGCCGCTGCCTGCCCGGGTGTGTGTGCCTGGGGGGCGGGGGGGGGGGCGCTGAGGGATAAGGGCTGAGGGTGGTGGGGTCTGCTCACGCTGACTCCTGCAACTCAATTCATCCTGGGAACCTTCTGTTGTTTCTGCTGAGGTGCCAGGTGCTGTGATGACCAAAGCTAAACTCCTCTCTTTGCCTAGTTCTTAAAAGGCCTGATCCTCCTGTTATCTTGTTAAATGGACCGACCCCTGCACCCTCCCATCCTGCCAGACCCCTTGTGCAAATACTTCCACTTGAAGAGTTCTTTCTCTGAATCTAGAAAATAAACAGACAACACCCACCAGCCACACCGACCCCATTGCCACAAATACCTAGCAAAGACAAATCTAGCTGGTCTCCTTCTGCCTCAAGGCACTTTAGAGAGTCACTCTCTCAGACACACCTTAGGCTCAATTACAGGCTGCTGTCTCCCTTTCTCTGGCACAATTCCATCCCTGGAGGAGCCCCATATCGCATCTGCAGCCGTGAGCTGGAGACAGTATGCTCAAGTGACCGGGTGGTAGCACCGTAACTTTGAAATGACCTATACCCCAAGTCATCCATGAACATGGTCCCTGGAAATCTTTGACATTCACGTGCCTCTGATGAAATCCTTGCTTTGGAAACTCCAGCACCCATAGCCAATCTTGTCCATGTTCTGCTAACCTTTGCTCGCCCTCTGTTCGCCTGATATCTTGCCTGATTGTTTACAGAGAAATTAGATCCCATCCAGCAAGAGCTGAATCCGAGTCCTCTGCTCACCCCACGACGGAAAAGAATATGCACAGGCCTGCATCCCTCTTCTCCTTCTCCACCATGTCGGAAGAAAAGGTGGCCCTCCCTCCTCCCATCAGAACCCAAACCCGAGATAAGACTTAGATATAAAGGAAACCAGCATACTGTTTTGAACTCTATATACACTTGTAAAAAACGAGCAGCGGCAAGGAAACACACAAACCACCACCCCCCCCCACACACACACAGGTGCAAGGAGGGTGCGCTGACTCGCTGAATCTCCCCCTTTTCTCCCGAGAGGCATCCCCCCCATCCCCCGCCCCCCCCCGAAGATGTCCTCCCTATGCCGGAAGGGGAGTGAGTGACGTTCTTTTCTTCCTTTTTTTTTTTTTTTAAATTATTCTTTTTAAAAGACTTTTATTTATTTGAGAGGAGGGGTGGGGGGGAGGGAGGGGGGAGGGAGGGAGAGAGAGAGAGAGAGAGAGAGATTGAGAGAGAGAGAAGCAGAGTCTCCGCCGAGCAGGGAGCCCGATGTGGGGCTGGATCCCCGGACCCTGAGCTCAGGGCCTGAGCCGAAGGCAGGCGGACGGTTCACGGATTGAGCCAGCCAGGCGCCCCAGCTTTCTTGTTTCTTTGTCTGCCTGCTTGCCTGCGTGTTGGGTCTGTGGATGTCTGATGCCTGCCCTCTGATTTCGTGGGGAGGTGGGCCGTCTTTCCTCCTTCCAATGGCCTTTGCGCATTTGTCAAACTTCTGTCGGGCTTGGGCCTATCTGTTTGGGTATCTGTGGCGTTCCATCCACCGACCTGTCTCTTTTGTCTGCCAACATCACAGGGTCTCTATCGCCTCTATACATAAGCATGAAACGGGCCCGGAGAGGACGACTTTGTTTCCTGAGTTTTGTTTTGTTTTCTTCGAAATCACCATAGCGATTCTAATTCCTTTTGCCTGTCTGCTTGTGTATGTAATCTGTACACCCATCCAGTGCGGTGCTGGAACTCACGACGCCCGCCGATCAAGAGTCGCGGTCGCGTGGGCCTCCTCCGACCGAGCCAGCCAGGTGCCCTGAAATACGTGTACTTGAAAAACCAATGTGAAGCCTGCACCCGTGAACTTTTTTTTTTAAAGATTTTATTTATTTATTTGAGACAGAGAGAATGAGAGAGACAGAGAGCACATGAGAGGGGGGAAGGGTCAGAGGGAGAAGCAGACTCCCTGCCGAGCAGGGAGCCCGAT